CAAAAATGATATGCCACACAAAGTCTCTATGAATTGAGGTGATTAAATGACAGATGCTCTCTGCAGCTGTAAAGTAGAGTGAGATTACAAAAAAATTGTCTTTAGGTTGAATGAGATTTTTTTTTACCAGTGTTTTATAAACCTTATCCAACCTTCTTTTATAAATACATGTTTGGCATTTGACATACACTGGTATAATGTGCATGTCCCTTACCTTCCTCTCTGCCCACTCTCTCTCCACAGGTACAGCATGGTGTGATTCATGTTCTGTATCCGTGCACAACACACACACACATGTCTGGTCATATCTACAGAAGAGCTCCAAAGGCCTTTCATGCTTCTTGCACATCCTTTCCTCCAGATGGTGCCATGGCTGCACCAATGTGTGCTTGGTGAACCGTGCCACATGAGAAACCACATGCTGCTCACAATATGACACCAAACATACCAAGCAGGATTTCACAGCACGTAATGGTTTCCCTGCAGGGCACAGGTCACACAGAGCCACTTGGGAACCACGGCACCCTGTTGTTGTTTTCCCTTTCTCCTCCCGTATCTGCCTGGCCATCTCGTCAGCAAAGGAGTTCTCCCGGAGCTCTGGCAGTGCTTGAAAGACTACCAAGCACTTTGGGCAGTGAGGGGAGCCGGTTGTCATCCACTGGGTTTGGACGCAGGAGAGGCAGAACGTATGCCCACAAGGGAGAGAGACAGGCTGGGTAAAAACATCCAGACACACCGTGCACTGGAACAAATCCTCAGACAACAGAGAACTCGACAAGGACATGGCAAAGGGCAGATCTAAAGACAGGTGAAAATCTTTAGATCCCAAGGTAAAAATGACAAGCCACACAAAGTCTCTAAGTTTAAGAGATGATGGATGCTTTTTGCAGCTGTAAAGTAGGGTGAGATTACACAACGAAAAGCAGAGCTACTTGTGAATCTTTATTATTTTGTGAATTTCCACATACATGTAACCTAAAAAATGTAATCAGATCTTCATTTAAGTCATAACAATAGATAAAGAGAACCAAATAATGCAAATAACACAAACAATTATATAGTTTTTCATCCATTTATTAAACAAAGTGATCCAATGTTAAATGTCTTTGTTTGCAAAAGTACATGAACCTCTAGAATAATCCTATAATTAGGATCAGAAGTTTCAGTCAACTGGGTGACAATCAGGTGTGAGTGTGCCTTACCCTGCCCTACTTAAAAAAGCATCTTCACCACCAAAAATCTGGTCTTTACCTCATACATTTGTTTGTGCCATGTGAAATGAGACATCTAAGGACCTGTTAGTGCTCCTTAGGCCAGAAGTGGTTCCAAAACTATTTCTGATGAGTTTGGACTTCACTAGTTCACTATTAGGCAGATAGTGAACCCTTTGTTACCCTTCCCTGGAGCAGTCATCCAACAAAACTAAAGCATAGAATATGCTGGGAGATCACAAAAACCCAGGGCAACATCTAAGGATCTGCAGGACTCTCTTACACTGGCTAATGTCAGTACTCATGAGTCCACCATCAGGCAAACACTGAACAAGAATAGTATGTATAGAATTATAGCATGGAGAAAGCCACTTCCTGTTTAAAGCCACTGCCTGTTTAAAGTTTTCTAAAGACCACCAGGGACAGCCAGAAGACTACTGTAATAATGTTACGTGGGCAGATAAAGCAAAAATGGATCTTATGGCTTAAATGATGAGATGTTAAGCAAAACCAAACACTGCGTTCCAGCATGAGAACCTCATCCCTACTTTTTCATCCTCATACCTACATGGTGGTGGCAGTATTGTGGTTTGGGGCTGTTTTGCTGCTATTGGACCTAGACAGCTTGCTATCATTTGATGGAACTATGAATTATAGATTGTTTCAAAAAATTCTACAGGAGAATTTTAGGGCATCTATGTGTGCACTGAAGTCCAACAAAGGGTGGGTCTTGCAAAAAGACAGTGACCTTAAAGTCCAGCTGAAGCAATTAGGTTAGGAGGAATGGACCAAGATTCCTCCAAGTCAATGTGCAGGGCTGATCAACAATTATAGGACTCATTTAGTTGAAGTCATTGCTGCTCAAGGGAGTCATACCAGTTCCTGAAAGCAGAGGTTCACATAATTCTGCTTACAAAGATATTGAATGTTAGATTACTTAGTTAATAAATGAATGAAAAATTATATACTTTTTTGTGTTGTTTGTTTAATTGGGATCTCTTTATCTTTTGGTATATGTTAAATGAAGTTCTGATCATATTTTGGGTTACATTTGTGTAGAAATTCACAAAATGATAAAGGGTTTACAAACTGTACTGCTGAATGGGATTTTTTAGCCAGTGTTTTTTCCAACCATGCAATAGTAGGTATGAAAAACACGATTTGTGGGTGGAGCATGGATAGGTCAGTTAACTTACGGCTCTTGTGGACCTACAACTTGGCTGGAGCTCTGTGAATGTGAACCTCCCTAAGCCTGACATGACAAATGCTTATGACCAATATATCAGTTAGTAACATCATAACATCGGCTGAGACTTTATTGGTACTGGCAAAAATCCCACTGATAAGTTACCAATATTTAGCGACTTATATTTTCTTATTAGAGGTGTTCTAGAGAAAAGATATACAGACAATATTTTTGATGGACCATGATGGTCTTGGGCTTGAGAAAAACTTGCCCTGCAGGCCTGGTAAGTAATCCAGCCATAATTTTAGCTCAGTTATTTAACCTACCTACCTTATCTTAACTTGTAAAAAACCTGCAAGAGGACAAAGTCCAGCAGGAGATGGTATGCAGTACACACGGTATACACATGGTGGTATTCCAACATATTAAAAATCACTTTTATTTTGTGTGTGTGCATTCCCAGTGCATTAGAGTGCTACTACACGTACCAAAGCCTGTGGTCATCATAAACGAGATCTTACCTGAGAATGGCAGTATGTAGGAGTCAACAGGTGTCCAGGAACAGCATGCCGCTGTTATCAGGTTTCACTCCTGAATGGCTGTCGGGCTAAGCTCTTCCTTCTCTGATGGGCGAGTCCATCTCCCCACACTTACTTTAACCCTTTCCTCTCAGATAAAAAAGAACATAAGACGCAGGATATGATATGGTATAGTGTGATAGGCTTTATTGATGTTTTATGCTTTGAGGAACACATTCAAAAACACATGAATCATTCCACAAGACTGATGCCAAATGGATGCTGAATTTGAATTCAATGAAACTAAAAAAAGAAATAACAGTTTTATGTCATTTATAGTTTCAATTATGGTAGTCCTCTTACCAAAAACATGTCACTATTTTGTTTGTGTTCCAAATAACATTGAGAAGTATATCCTCATCACATAGAATATTTCAGGCTAAACTGGCTGCCACACTCCCTGTACCGTTTTTTTAACAGTAAATTACATGAATTTTCTGTAAATATTGCAAAAAAACATATACATTTATAAAACTTTCTTAAAAACATATTTGTCTGTTTTGTGTGATGTGGTGGACATTATGCTTCACAGACCCTGCCAGACCCTGTTAAATAAAATAAAATATGGCTCCTGTGAGGGCTTAAATGATGCCACTTCCTCTTTGACACTTAATGTGACAGTACATTATAAGTATAGTTCAATAGTTTCGAAAAGCAAAACAGATATTTTTCCTAAAATTAATGTTTTTATTTTAATATGATATATTTCATGTTAATGTGGAAACATACGGCAAAAACTTACATGTTAACTTTTATTTAGTAATATGTGAGAAAGAACTTCAATAGCTGTTTATATGGAGATGTAAAAATGCCTATAATCCTGAAAGAATCAATATAAAAAAACACTTTTTAAATAGTTTTAAAGACACTGGTTTGATAGTTTTTAGATGCAATTTGGGCTACAATGTAGTTTTTGAAATCCATTAATGATGGACAAATATGGGTGTTATAATACAAAGCAGTCCCTTCAAAAAGCTTTTTTTCTATTTTACCATTTTCAACATTACGTATAAACACTCGGAGGATACGTGTAGGTTCACTGGTGGTTTTGGATAATAAAACGTCTATATTTGTGTTGTAGACATTGTGATCGCTGGTTCGTATCACCACCAATGTAAAGAAGTCTGTACAGTTTCTCTACAATGAGCCTTTTCACATCAAACCACTCTGAACTATATTGTTTACATATCAATGATTGAATTATGCCTACATTTTGAAAAATCAGTGGAATTCCCCTTTAAGGCACTTGGTCTGTAGTGAAACCAACCAATCAAGTCAAGACTAGACTCTGAGACGTTTATAGCTGTAATGAAAATGCGTACTTTATTTTCACCTCTTGCCCCTCTTTTAGCCATATATGTCTCTACAAAGTGAATCTGTCCTTGTTCACACCTAAAAAAGCTGTGCCAGAACAAGTAATTAAAGCCTGGCCATACGTGGAGAAAGTTGCCTTACTCGCACGTCTTCGAATAACAACACGCTGGTCGTTTTTTTTATTGGTTTCAGGTATAAAACACCAAAGGTTCTCGAGTATAAAATATTTTACCAATAGCCTACTGTTACTCTATTAATTGCTGATTGATGGGGGGAAACGGCGAGTGTAATCCGTGAACTGGTGATCAAACAGATTAACCGGGACAAAGTTCATTCGCAGGGAAGCGTGTCCCAGATGGAACAATAATGTCGGACGCGATGTTTTATGTTCTGCGGATTAGTAGCCAAGAGGTGGGAGGTCGTCGAAGCTCTTGCATCTGAAAGAAACATCAGCGCAGTTGATGTTAATGAGCAGCCGACTGAACGGGAGAGTGAAAAAAAAGGCCAGGGATATTAACAGACTGAGGAAAACAAAGTCCGAAAACTTGCCTCGACGAAACGTACATTTATGGATAGATATTCTATAGAGCAGCAGATGTGCTTGGGGAGGGAGAAAGAGAGAGATTAGAGCAGCAAGCTGCGCTTTGGTGATTTGACAGCGCTTTAGCTTAAAGAGATGCGGTGGGGGGGGGGTTATGCCCAGGATAACATTCTTCATAATATAGAACGAGGGAGGCTGCGAAATGATTGTTTGCCTTAGGGCTTGTGGAAATATAACGGCATATAGTTTTGGCTGAAGCGAGATCGAGTGCTCAAGCAGTTAACTTTGCGAAGGAGGTAGATAGGCTACCTGATGCACATTTAGCGCAGGAATCCGAGGGAGACGAATTTATTTTCTGGTAAGGCTGATTGTTTACTTTCAGCATGTGTCGTATTATATAATATAAGAGGGTTCAGCGGGGATTCTGTGGGCACTCTAGCGGCACTGGCATATTTTGTTATATGAATTTAGTTAAAGCTTGGGTGAAATGCGACGAAGAAAACAAACAGTCTAACAGACAGAATTTTTTTTCAGTAAGTGGGAAACCTGCACGTCTCTAACCTGTTGCTGTAGAGTGAGCTTCGTGGGCGCTTTCGCTTATGATTGATCTCGGTTTCTGGCTGCAGATGCTCCAGTACCCATATATGATCCTATAAATCACGCCAATAACTGTTTTTTTCTTTTTGCTTAATCAGTACGTTGTTGAAATATCTACACATACTTGAGTTAAACTAACGTTATGAAGCTGCTTGTTTGTATGACACACTATTATTTCGTACGCCATTGGGTTATTAGGCTGCAGCAAGAATGTAGCAGTTATCATTATTATTACGTTACTGAATGGAGTGCTTGACCTAATTAATATTTATTCGAGCTCCCAGTTTTCTTAAAGTGTTGCCTGCTTGCGTATCAATGTACAAGTTCTGTCTGCGTCACCTAAACTAGGCAGCTGATTAAGAAGTAATTTGTGAATTGCCTCCTCCAGCACCAAAACACAGCCCAGATGGTGACAGACTGTGTTTGTTGATATTGAGTAGAAGTCTATTTTGGTGGTCAGTGATGAGCAGGGATCAGGGATACAGGCTAGCAGGGTTTCTGTAATCAGAGCACAACTAGTTGATCTGAACTAGACACTGTGAACAACTCTACTGAAGATAAACCAGTAATACTATTCCTATAGGCAAAACCAACAACTGAACGAAGAACTACATGTCACACAACAGTTGAGAACTTAAAATGCAACATATCAGTCAAACGATTATGAAATAGTTCTATAGTAACACAGAACATTTCCGGTGTTCCCTGCAAAACTGTAGTGCTGTAGTGGTATCTGTCCTTATTGGTGGAAGAGATTTTCTGGTGACTTGGGCCACCAAAATGAGAGGGAGCGAGGGAGGTGTGGGCAAGGAGTGGTGTCCAATGTTTATTTAAGCTCTAGCTCTGGGCTTCTGGATTAATTTTGATTGTAATCTTGTTATGTGTTAGAGAGAGAAAGGGAGAGCGAGAGGAGGAAAGATGGTGGGTCCCTGGGTGGGATGGAAGTGGAAGAGAGAGAAATACTAAGGATTAGGGTCAGCCATGTTAGGCATCTGGCATCACACGCACAAGCATGCATGCGCATGTACATACAAACACACAACTAACTCAGCCATATTAAACCAGATCACAGCCTAAAGAGGCAAAAAAGCACATCTTGATAGTATCACATTGAGACAATGTTTTTAAAATCTGGTTCAGTTCAGACTGGTTCAGTTAATTTATTAGCTCTCATGTCAGGATGTGAATGTATAATCACCTGAATAAATATGTAGTTAGTATCATAGTGTTGCCACAGACTGTGATTGTTTTCAAGTTGACTGTCTGTAGTAGTGTGGGCGGCACGGTGGCGCAGTGGGTAGCGCTGTCGCCTCACAGCAAGAATGGCCTGGGTTCGATTCCCAGCCGGGCGACCGGGGTCATTTCTGTGTGGAGTTTGCCTGTTCTCCCTGTGTCTGCGTGGGTTTCCTCCGGGTACTCCGGTTTCCTCCCACAGTCCAAAAACATGCAGTCAGGCCAATTGGACATGCTGAATTGCCCCTCGGTGTGACTGTGTGTGTCTGTCTGTCTGCCCTGTGATGGACTGGCGACCTGTCCAGGGTGTATCCTGCCTTTCGCCCAATGACAGCTGGGATAGGCTCCAGCGACCCAGAAGGATAAGCGGTTTAGATGATTTATGTATGTATGTATATGTCTGTAGTAGTGACTAATTATTCAAAGTCCCTTTATAGGAGCTATGTATATGTTGTTGTGTAGTCTTATTATGGTCAAAGGTAAGTAGTAACTAATTACATGTACTTAGTTACATATAATCAAAATTTTGATTGATTTGTACTTTCCTAAGTATTTTCAAATTATAATATATTAAGTTGTTTTTACTCTGTTTTTACATTTTAATCAATAACATCTCATTACTAATTCCTTTTTGTGTTCAATATCATTCTTTTACATTAATCATCTCATTTGGATGGACACTCCTCTGAATTTTGTGTTTTAGCATTTTATTTTTATCAGAAACAAAATCCTAACAAACTTCAGTTCCTATGCTCATAGAGGCTGGATGTAGTACTGAGTCCCACTGCAGTTCTGTTAATTACTCAGTACTTAGTTTTTACACCTGAAACTTTTGTACTTATAGTTGTTTTTTGATATGCTAATTTTGTACTTTTGGTACTTTTTCTTGTGTCATTAGTTCACTACTTGAGTATGGGTTGACTTTTACTCCACCCACCTATGATTTTAGTAGTAGCGCACCATATAATATTCTAGGTTTTGAAATTTCTGAATTATAATATCTATGTAAACATGAGTTTTCTTCGGCCTGTAATATACAGAGCATACTGTACCTGTGTACATAGTGTATGCTGTTCCTGAGATTGTTGTCTTGTGATTCTTCTGCTGTGTTTCTGTGTGTTGAGTGTTGTAATTCTGATGTGTTTGTGATTGTGGTAGCAGCTGCCATGAGACTCGCCAGTATGGCGGTCCGTGCTCGGCGTACTGCTGAACCAGCTGAGAAAGAACCAGAGCCAGAACCAGAAACAGAAATAAAGCATGAACACCATCCTGCTCCCCCAGCTCATCCCACACATCACAACTATGACAACATGAAGAGCAAATTCATGAATGAACTGGAGCACCTGCCGCGTGAGTAATCACACCAGTGTCGGTCAAGAACTGACCAAAGTGTCCGAATAAAATATCGTTGAAGCTACATTAAGCTATATGCATTAAAGCTACATTAAGCCTTAACCCTACATATTTTAGAAGAGGACAAACTTACAGCAGTCTTATCATCACCAAAGACTGAAATATGCATATTTATGACCACATTTTGCTAGTTTGTCTTTCACCCTGTATACTAATATAAGACATAATTAGACATAATTAAAGCCTATGCTTTTGTTAGTCCAGAAAAGAAATGTGGCTGTGGACACAGTGCTTTTCAATAAATAATTACTGCACTAAATGGTGTCTATAGACATAACAGGTTGAGATATTAACCAAGGAACCAAAATGATCAATGAAAGTTTCATCTGTCCTGCTATGTTTATTACAAACATATGAGCATTAACTGTGAATTCTCCTCCAGTAGTGAGTGAGTGAGTGAGTGAGAGAGAGAGGTTATCCTGACTCTAATCTTTAAAGCTATGCTGAGAGCTTCCAATCCTCTTTACTGCATCACAGTTATCAAAGGAGGTAAATACTGTTGTAAACACTTGGTGAGAATATGTACTCTGTTTGTGAGTGGGTGTGTACAAAGCTGATGCATGTACACTTACAGCACCTTCTACAAGCTTGCTAAGGAGACAGATTCTACATTGATTCTACATTGATTCCACACTAAACCTCTCTATATTTCGTACTTCTCTATGTAAGCTTGATTTCATCATCTTCTCTTAAACCCATGAAATTTCTTCATCTCACATACAGCCTTTCTGTCCAAATAGCTGCAGTACTGCAACCCTTTAGGAATTAGAGGCTTAGAAATGAAAAGTCTTAACTGGTTTTCCAGGTGCATAGTCATGGACTCAAGTAGGTAATTATTGGGAGTTTTTTGGCTAAAATATTTCTCATTCCAAACCATAGAACTAGACCACATTGTTCATGCTAAATGAGGCAGTGCTTTTTGCTTCAGTAAAAAAAAGACAGCATTGGTTCTACCATGTATGGATGGATTGATTCAATTACCTTCAAGAATGAAGACTAGCAGTTGGGAGAGAAACTCAGATTGTCTCTGCCAGAAACAGGCCACAAAAGTTTTTCATTTATTAGCTAAACCTATAGACTGAACTGGGTTCAGTTTCTCTGCTTAGACCTTATGTACTCTTTCATTTCTTTATCTCTGCAAGTCTTTCGGACATGAGAGCAGCTATTAATGACAATAGGATATGGAGTATTCAAAAACATCTCCAGTCATATCAGTGAAAGAACAGTGATGCAAATTAACAATTGAATGGTAATTTCATAATAAATATCTTAATCCTTACAAACTGCTGCTTTTAGATCAGACTAAACACAGGAACAGTAATGCTGCCAGCCTAGTCACAATCAAAGAGAGCTGTCCTTGCTGTCATCTTTTACCTGTTGCCATGGAGACTGACCTGCGCTCTGTCTGTGCAGTTCCCATGTGGGCAGTGGGGGCTATTGTGGTGGTGGTCTTGGCCCTTGTGGCCTGCTTTGTGTTCTGCTTCTTCAAGAAGTGTTTTGGCAAGAAGAAGAAGTCCAAGAAAGCCAGGGAGAGAAAGGGAGCGGCACGTCGCAGGAAAGCAGGAGAGGAGGGAGAGGTAGAAGGAGGACCGAAGGTGAGAAAGAAGTGGTAAACTTGAAGCTCTTTTCTATTTCTGAAAAGAATAAACGTTAACACATACCTTATCTGTAGCTGAGAAATGATCAATAAAAAGCCAAGCATTTTGCTTTGTATTAGCAATTGCATGTTTCAGTTTAATCTCTCTTCTTTGCTCAATAACTGTTTTTTATCATTGTCCAGCAAGAAGAGGGAGAGAAAAAAGAGGGAGAGGAGCAGCAAGAAGAGCATGAACACCTGGGAAAGCTGGAGTTTTCTTTAGACTACAATTTCACTGAATCTCAGGTATTGTTGTCCAGTTAAACTGCCTATGTTAAAAATTTGGCCTGGCTGAGTATTAGGTAAACACAGGGATTAAAATCTGACATTTTTTCTGAGAATGAATATATCTTATGAGCATTGCATAATTAGTGAAAAGATGAAAAATAAACATAGATATGAAATAAAAATACAAATAAAAAGTAAAAAGCTGAGTTTTTTTTTTCATTCCAGCTGATAGTCGGGATACTGCAGGCTCAGGATTTAGCTGCTATGGACATTGGTGGCACCTCTGACCCATACGTGAAGGTCTACTTGCTTCCAGACAAGAAGAAGAAGTTTGAGACTAAAGTCCAGCGCAAAAACCTCTGCCCTGTGTTCAACGAGACCTTCATCTTTAAGGTCTCTCTTTTACTATTGGCCTTGTTTGAGTGTGTGAGTGTGGGTGGGTGGGTGATTTTGCATTTATATGGTTCTTGGTTAGAAGAAAAAAACTTTAATAAAGATATAACCTTTACATTATGTAGATGTAAAATTTTAAACATCTTGTTTACAAAAATGGTTCTTTACATAACTATCCATTGAAAGGTTTTCAGGGAACCAAAAGTGGTTCTTCTATGGTATCAATCCAGAGAACCCTTTTTGGCATCTTCATTTTAAGAGTGTACCTGATGAGTTCAGTTAAAAATGCACAGCACATGAAGTCCCTAGAATTGAGGAGTTCATTAGAATTATTTCTACATTTGCAGAGTCCCTGGAGTGGTATATCTTCAGTAACTTTAGTTAGAGAACATAATTGTACCATATTCCTTAGCATTTTTCCTGCTCCAAAAATTAGATTCTGAAACAGTATAAATATGCAACTTTCCCCTGGGAAAGTGAATGTAATGAACCATTAAAACTCATTTAAAATACACAAATAGGGTCTTAAGCACGTATGTACATCTCTACATGTTGTACCTTTGAGGGCACATTTAAATTGTTTGTACCCAAACAGTACCCTTTTTCTTAATGAATTATTGTAAGTTTACAGTAACAGTTGGAAATGTTCACACTGTCATTCATTTCTCTTTCTCTCAAACACCTCCCCTTCTCTCTATATATGTCTTTCACTTTCTTTCAGATCCCATATGCTGAGTTGGGTGGTAAAATCCTAGTTCTTCAGGTCTTTGACTTTGACCGTTTTGGTAAACATGATGTGATTGGCCAGATAAAGATTCCTATGAATAGTGTGGATCTTGGACAGCCAATGCACCAATGGAGGGACCTGGAAAATGCAGAGAAAGAAGAGGTACAATCATAGTCTTTGGCACAGAAAAAGTGATGCATTGCTATTATTACATGTATGTCTTTTTCAAGCGTATAAAGTATATTACAGCTACACAGTTTTGTCTTTTAGGTTACTTACCTTTCTTGTATTTATGTAGAAATGATATTTACATTATGGGCTATAAAAGGTAAATTGGTTGAACTTTTTTCAGTGTGTAGTGTTTTCATCATGTTGTATTACCTATATTGTTTAATCGATCTGTTGCCTACAAGCACTCAAACATTCTTTCTATACTTTCTGTGTGAAAATAATGACTCAGTCTCCCTGACGTAAATAGGCAAGGCAATGGTGATTCTCCTTCAAACATTTCAGTGCCAACCTATGAAAAATATCCAAAGGACTCTCATTAAATCTCAGAAGCTTAGATACATTGTGCTTATTTTATTCTAGTGCTGCGGGACTGACATTGAGAGACACCTCTTTTTCGTCCAAAAAAAAAGATTGTTACACCTGATTTACATTTTTCTGCTACAACCTGAAAAGTTAATCAAGAACCTATTATAATTTTGAAAGATTGCATATACCAAAAGATATGTTTTATGGAGAGCAGTAAGATACATCACTGTTTGTATCTTTAGTTGCAGTTTAGACATTTATAAATCCTCCTCTTCTAATAGTATTGGACAAATGAAATTGCACAAGACAGAGAGCAAAGCAGAAACCCCTGCAAACCTTTGGTTATGTCCCGTTGCTGAGTAACTAGTGGGCTTGCCACTTACATATCTAAGAGTATTCCTTGTCTTTGTTCTTGACCACAGAGCCCTTGATCTCTATCAGCAACTCTGCAACAACTGATGAAGTCTTGTTATAAAGGCTGTATTATGTAAGATTGCATTGTTACCTTGACAATGAGTCAAAACTATTTTATTAAAACAAACAAGAATGTCTAATTATCCATAGTGGTATCTATGGAGTTGGAGTTTGATCTTGTGCTCTTTCACTCTAGGCCTAAATTTAATCCATTGAGATAATGGGTTGAAATGTAATGTCAACTCTCTCTCTCTCTCTCTCTCTCTCTCTCTCTCTCTCTTTCTCTCTCTCTTTTTCTCTCTCTCTGTCTGTATCTCAGCAAGAGAAGCTGGGTGATATCTGTATCTCTCTGCGTTATGTTCCCACTGCTGGCAAACTAACTGTCAACATTATGGAGGCCAAAAACCTCAAGAAGATGGATGTGGGTGGTTTATCAGGTACCCGTCCTTAGTTTTATCTTATTAACCTATCAATGTTTTGTATTTTCAAATGAAAAAAAAAATTCTTTCTTACAAAAATAACACATCCTGTGATTCTTTGTATTTCAGACCCTTTCGTAAAGATTGTGTTACAGCACAATGGCAAGCGACTGAAAAAGAAAAAAACCACGGTTAAGAAAAATACTTTGAACCCATATTTTAATGAGAGCTTCAGTTTCGAGATTCCATTCGAACAGATACAGGTAACATTTTTTTTAATTACTAATTTTCATTATAACTAAACTACAGGTTCGATCTGAATTTATTGAACAAACATAACAACAGAGGAAAATCTCCTGAAGGCTCTGGAAAGTAGGACAACAGTATGGCCTCTTTTTCACTGTAGGGCCAAATGTTTTCAAGCATGGACAGTAACTGTTCCGAAATTGAACCTGTTCTGTGGTTTTTGGAGCTGTTACCAGCTACCTAAGCTAACGCTAGCTTAGTTAGCACGCTAAAAGTGACACACACCACAATGCAGGCTCGAGTCCACCTAACTGATGCTCAAATTACATGTTTATAGGATAAAGACTCATATTTGAGGGCGTAAAGGTATGTGACTGGTAGTTACTGCTGTCAAGTAACTGGTGAAATGACAACCGGAATCAAACAAGTTTTTTGGTATGACCTTTTGGCCTGTTAGTTGTCGCTGAGTCACTGTCATGCATAGTTTTCCTGGTCCTGATTTAGTAGCACAGTAGATGAAAAAAGAAACTGGTCTCATGAGTCCTGCACCACAGAACGACACTATATGACTGCGGGAAACATTTGGCTCTACAGTGGAAAAGTGGCCTGTGTTCATACAAGACAACAATGAGAATAAAGAAATCTCTCAGGAAACCACTGCATTTGGTTAAGTATAGCTAGTTGGTGAAAGAAGCCTCAGTGAACACAGACCAGTTTCAATGCAGTAACAATAAGTTCTTTCTCAGTACTAGTGATTCTGAACTGGGGTATGAGTTATTGCTCCATAATTTCAAAAACTAAGCAACTCAAATTTGAGTTATTGATATCTTTACGTAGGACTTAATAATTAAGGAAAGGTTTGATAGATAAACTAAAAACCCTGAAAGCTGATTAATGTCTGAAAAATCCGTGAACCTGAGGTTATTTAGACTTCTTTATGCTTCAGATAATAACTTAAATTACTGTGTGTTTTCTCCAAATTCAGAAAGTCCAGCTTCTTATCACCGTTTACGACTATGACAAACTGGGCAGTAATGACCCAATTGGCAAGACCTTCATTGGCTATGGAGCAACTGGTGTCGGCCTACGTCATTGGTCGGACATGCTGGCAAATCCAAGGCGTCCTGTGGCCCAGTGGCACACCCTCCAGCCCGAGGAAGAAGTGGATGCTGCACTGAAAGCACCCCATCGCTAAATGCAACCATCACTATGTCAGCCAGTGACTAATTACAGTCTCTGCTTGGCCCTTGTCCACCTTGACAACCATACATTGTTTTCCCATTTTATCCTCCCAGTTGACAGCATGACAGTCAATTTTGTATCCTTGGAGTCCATATGGTCAGAAGTGATTAGTTTGGTGTCATCCTGAGCTATAAGACTATAAATCTCATTTACACTAGACAGTGACACTCGCCAGATGAATAAAACTTCTGTCATCTAATTTTCATCACCCTCTACTCTTCTCATGGTCATTTTTCTGAGTCAGAATTCCTCTTTCTTAAATCAGATTGTATATTTTTTTTCCTCTCCTGAGGCTGTTTTGTGTTTTGTGAATGTTGCAGTAATGTGTTGGTTGCAGTTATGTGTTGTGTTGAAGGTATTAAGACCTTTATAAATTCAGAAAGCTGCCTGTTTATGCTGTTCTATGATTCTATTAGAAATGTTAATTAATTGATTAATAACTGCAGCATAATTAACTATCTGTATTATTATTTTTCGTTTTTGATATTCTCCAATCTTTATGTTTTAATTTGTATTTGCATGCTGCATAAAAACAAATAAATCAGATATTGTTTATTGTTATTTCTGTGGGCTTCAAATGACTATGCTGTGAATGATTTCATTTGTCGAATCTGTATATAATTCACATCTTTTTTTTCAAATAGTCATCCGTATATATATATATATATATATATATATATATATATATATATATATATATATATATATATATATATATATACTTGCTAGAGCTGATTTGGTCAAGGGCTGAACTGTGTAACACATAAAAATCACAAAACGTCTGTTGCACTACTCACTACAAAGTTTCAGACTCTCTCTGAAAGCAACATTAGCACAAGAACCGTGTGTTGGGAGCTTCCTGAAATGAGCTTCCATGGTTAAGCAACTGCACTCAAACCTAGGATCACTTTTCGCAATGCCAAGCACCAGATGGAGTGGTGTAAAACATGCCGTCAATGGACTCTGGAGTATTGTAAACGTGTTCTTTGGAATGATGAATCATGTTTCCAAAATCTTGTGGAAAGCTGTCCCAGAAGATAGAGGTTGTTATATGTACACCCAGGGAAGTGATGGCTCCAGGATGCACTGTGGGAAGAAGACAAGCTGGAGGGAGTGTGATGCTCTCAGCAGTGTTCTGCTTGGTCCAGGCATTCATCCTCTGGTTTAGTCTGCTTGCTAAAAATAAGGATGAACTATTTGCGTCCCATCTGCCAGGTTCTTTTTAGAATTTTCCGTTCCACCTTAAACAGTGCAGCAGTTACATTCTGGTGCCTAAAAATGAGCCTGTATGTTATGACAATACTGTTTAAGGTGGACCAGAAAATTCTATTTGTCTTGTTTCAAAAGACTTTATAAACAGGGGAGGCCCGTCATACAGATTCTAGTTGATACTCTGTAGGGATATCTTCTGTAAAGTGAGCATCCGATGTGGATATATTGCTCTGTCATCACCTCACCTTCTAATATGCTATGTGCATTTTGGAAGGCTACAGAATCAAGCTAGATACAAACCATTGTTAATGGTAGCTAATAAAACATTCCCAAACAAGGACCTGATCTGCTGTTTTTACCAGCTGGCTAACATAACAGAGCCCACTTTGTCACACATATACCAGTGATTTTTGTAATATTCATTTTTAAAAGGAAGGAGAACATTAGAGAATCCCTAGTGGAAATCAGCTGAAATATAACATGGTATTGATGCAGTAAAGCAGCTGTTGCCATTATAACTAGGTGATTGTGTGATTTGCATGTGTCTATGTGTATGGAGTTAGTTTTGTGCCAAAAGTTTCAAATACTAAAATCCACAAGCGAAATATAGAGTATCAAAATGTACAAAATATGGTGCAAACACAAATAATGACAATTAACTTTTCAAAATTATTAATACTTATTTTCTCTCATTCTGATATAAATTCATAATTCATTTTGCTAGTTTTTGCTTTAACCTCTTTCTATTTGCTGATTTTGCTTCTAACATTTTTCTTCTGCATCTGACTTTTGGCACTTTTTAACAGAGGGCAGGTCTTAGAGGAGGGCGTTCACCTGCACTTTCTACTGGTCAACTGATTTAATGTGACAAGTCTTCTGAACACATTGCCACTCAGCATGTACGGCCGGGAGCATAGCGGAACACATCGTATTGAGTTCTGTCCTGGGTTCAGTGCTGTACTGTCATGTCTGACATTATGAGCATTTTTTGTCATATTCCTTACAAATTGTTAATGAAATACATGTTTATGGGTCCTGTGCTGACCTGTGCAAAAGGATATAACTTTATTTTTGGACACTGAAGACTATAGTCGTTTACGAATGCACAAGACTGTACCACCTTTCGAGTTTGTAGGTACTGGTGCTAGCTAGTCTAGCAGTGTCCTCCATGGCTAAGTAGGTGAGCCATACTGTTAAAGAAACTAAACTGCTTAAATTTGTACTGTTAGTTCACTGTATTAATGTGAAGACAGTGATTTGGAGCAGCACATTCTGTAAACTGGCGTACTGAGACTGGAAGCCGATTCCAATATGTACTCTGAGGTACTCTGTGGGTAGAAACAAGAAAAGACTGACAAAACAGCTTGATCATGCAAGCCATAACAGTTAATTGTAAAGCTTCACTAAATTTATATGTGCTAGCTTTGTTGCATTTGTTTACGAGTATTTTCAAGTTCACAAAAAGTCAGGCACATACATATCTACCAATGCCTTTCGAGGTTCCTTCCAGAGTTGTTGATTGACGCCTGTGATATGTATGATTCATCCAATAATATAGCAAAAATCATGACCGGAAACCAAGGGAAGTGAAATCAGGATAGTGATGTGAGACTGAGACAGAGAGCTTGTGGAGAGGAGAATTACCACTCTGTAAGTCTTCTGGGTTTCTCAAACGCTAGAGGGCACTCCAAAGTGAGTCCAAAATGAATGGGTTAAGATGAAGCATTTGAGCAAAATCATAGTTTATAAATGCTTAAACATTTTTAATGTAAAAGAATACATTCATTTGCGGAACACAGAACAGCATAAAACATTTAACATCGCTGTTATATTTTTAAGCGCTTTTGAACTCAAGTTATAGAAATTTAAAATGGCACCTCAAGTAATTCATGACATTAGTGAGCACGAACAGCCAATGATCTGCTCCGCACACGTTTGCTGTAGAAAAAAGGAAACATACCGGTAAGTTTCTTTGCTTTTTTAGTGAAATACATCCTTCTTCTTTTTAAAATTAAAGGAAAGTTCTGGGCAAGTGATTAGAAACTATTTTAACTTTTTGTTTTTAACTGTTTAAACTGTTTAATACTCGACATCAAATTTAAAATGATGTCTAAAGAGACAGCTTTCCCATTTCCCCGATTTCTGCTTGTTCTCTCCGTTCCTCCTGCTCCTCTCATCTTCTTGATTCCTCAGGGTAGAAGAGGAGCAGTAGCATGGGAAGGGGAGGACGGGGCAGTAGCATAAGTTTCTGGACGCAGCAGCTGATTTAAACAGCTGCCTAGTTAGCCCTTTAGCGGACACTGCTAGTCCACTGCCAGAGTCATATAGAGAGAGAGTCGCATCAACGGAAGTTCAACATGCTTGATGGTCATGTGATTCACGTAGACGTCAGATAGTTCCAGGAAGTTTATTCCTTTACATTTTTTAGTATTATAATTATTATGTTCTTAAACTTGTATGGTATTTAAGAGCAATCATGTCCTAGATATATTTAGAAGAAATGTTTCAAAATTCAGATCAGATTAATTTTTAACATTAATTCATGGTGGTTTCAGTAATCTCAGGGTAACTGAGGGTCTAAATAATCTTAATGACTTGATGACTTACGTACACTTTATGACTTTCAGATAGCACAGAAGGAGAAGGAGCCAAAGGAATTTCTTTTTGGATTGCATGTGCAAACATCTGCTATTAAAAAGGGGACATTGTCTTTTTACTATGCACTTATTTACTGCAATGAATTTATTAAATAAAGCTCCAATAAACTCAAACATGAATAGCATGTCAAGCAGTTTGTCTGTACCCTTTTCTCAGTGTTGTCCTTGCATATAGTTTCCATCATGGTTTGCTCTGTTGCATGGGAATGCTCTAATCGCTCTGAAAAAGGAGTAAGAATGAACGGTTTCCCCACTGACACGAAGAGGAGAAAAAAAACGTTGGCTCAAGGAGCAATTACGAAGTTACTTACCGTTATTAAAGATTAAAACAAAACAAAAAAACTGTGACACTACATTTGCACTTTTCACAAAGACCACACCATTGGGAAGCTGAATGTTTTGTTTATTAAAAATGAAGAAACAGATGAAAAATTGCAAAACCCAGGGAGTTGCGACTCAGGGTGCAGGGTGAGGGTGCAGTCTCATTGTAAGGAGTCTTCAGGCTCCATTGAACCCCAGTGTTTTTTGTGCTGAAAGAAAGAGTGAGAGAGGGAGAAAAATACAGAGGAAAGCTTGTCCACTCAGCACTACTGACCACAATTATACTACTGTACTATGCTCATATTGTACAGTAATATAATGTCTAGTATTTAGTATGATTTGATATTTAGCCTAATATGATTCATTTTTTTTAACTGCTGACCTGTTTTTTCAATCTCACTCCAACTTCCTTCTCCCTTTGCCATCAATCCAAAATCAACTGAGCTTTCACATAATATAAACAGGTAATAGTCAACAGAATCACAAAGTCTACAAACACTCAATCCATATTTTTGTTTACTCTTGAAAGTCTACAAAATGCACTTTAAATCCATATCAATATAACACATGTATATGAGCAAATAAACAACACATTTTATATGATTTTATATCAGAGATTGATAACCTTGTCCTCTTTTTTGGTAAATTTAACAAATCCATGCAATGGCTAAGATGCGCTGAGAATTCAGAAACCAGATTTGGGTATTTCATGGGTAGGTGTTTTAATGTAGCTAACATATAAAATAGTAAACTACAATAAAGAAAATATAGCATAAAAACATTGCTTGAGAAGTAACGTACACAAACTGGCTCAAAGCCTGCAGATTTGTTGGTTAGCCTAAATGAAGGGATTGGTCATATAAAAATTATTTGTTTCAATCCAGTGATGGTTAATGAAGCTCTGTGTTTGAGCTGATCCTTTGAGAGAGTAAAATGGCTGTGGAGAGGTTGCAATTTTCATCCACATTTAGCCCTAAAAATATCCCACACTAAGCTAATGTGATGGAAATCTAATTTCAAATCTCTCTCTCTGTCTCTCTCTCTGTCTCTCTCTCTCTCTCTCTCTCTCTCTCTCTCTCACTCTCTCTCTCTCTGACCTGAACAGCAGTATTAATCTTACATGCACATTCAAAACAAATAAAAGTGGCACACAACTGGAACATTAAAATAATTCTGCGTGTTTCTGTGTCTCTGTCCAAGCTGCCCATGTAATGAATGTGTGCTTTTAGCTTGAATTTAGCTTGCTTGAACCAGATTTAACTGGAAAAGGTAGAAAGAACTCACTGCACAAACAATATGCAGTCTCTTTATTTAGTCTCTTTAGTGTGTAGTCTGTATCACTCATACAAGAGATGTGCAGGCAGTAGGAAACATACTGTGAAGTCAAATTTGTAGTGTTGAATTCAACATTTACTTACAAATGATAGAAGAATACTGAATTAGCCAGTCTCTGATGAATAACTACTGAAATATTGCCTCTATATGATTTTGTAAACTCTGATCACAGAAATAAAACAATACTTTACGTGAATAAGACTGCTTTTATTAACAAATTAGTAGGCAGGGTGACATTACAAGAGATAGACTCCATATACATCAACAGTTGCATAAGCAATAATATATATAGAATAAAATAAGACAAAAGTCTAAAATGCGTAAATATGGAATCTGGCAAACAATACAAGATGTGATGAACAGTTATCAATTCAGTGACATCTGACCAGTGAAAGCAATATAAAGTAAAGGCAGCTTGCTGATGCTTTCAGAGAAGACTACAAACATTTTGTGGAATGCAGTGGCTCTCAGTCCTAGGCACACTATGCACTGCACATTGTTGTGTTTGCTGTATGATAACACACCCAATTTAGCTTGTAGAAAGTTCAGTAATTAGTTAGGTAGGGGTAACACAAAACTGTGCAGTGCAAGAATTCCATAGGACATGGACTGAGATTCTGTAGTATATTGGCATTGATTCACATTTGAACTGTATTTACATTTGAATACAAAGAAATACACACATTGTATTAATTGACATGAGTTTGTTCTTGATTGCTATATAACTGCTTGTATATGTTCCGCTGATTAAAAATATGTAAGTGTGTAATAATATGTGTTCTGTGCTCTTAATCTATAGATGCTGCTGGCATGTTTCGGTAGAAGTCACTCCTATACACACAGGGTTCATTCCACCTGTTCCTCAGTTTGCATTAGCTTGATGTGTCACTACCAGATTTGGCCACTAGAGAGCACTTTGGTTTTGTATAACTACATTAGACATAAATTGATTGAATGCTGTTGCACTCTGCAGCAATGGAAAAACTAATGGCGTTCACTTGCCTAAACATTGCTGTGAAATTGATTAATCTTGATTTGATTACCTAGCTTTAGTTTTAGTTTTTCAGCTAAGTGCTGTATGTAAGGTATGGTGCCCCTGTCATAGTCCTAAGGGATCAAACCAGGACTAACTCGGAGTTTACTTAATGAGAACATGTGAGCCTGTCTTCTTGCAGTAGCAGAAAGGTGCCAGCCAACTGCAGCAATTCCATATTGGGCCTCTGATACTCATGTGAGGCTGTTTACTGGTTTAAGATCAATCTGGACGATCCTTAATAAAAATGAAACAAAAACATTAAACAAAATGCTCAAACTTCAGTGTAACAACAGAAAATAATAACTGTGCATCTTAAAGAAAGGAAATTTTCCACGTACAACTCTAAGAATAAGATATATAAAAATACGACTCAGAAGCAATGTTCCAGATGCTTGTTTTTGTATTTTGCTTTATGTTTCCTCTCTTCCCTGCATCCCGTAAGTAAAATTGAGTTTGTTGACTAGAATAGCTCTAGGTGTAGATGTAATAGTAGTACATTAATTAAAAAAGCAAAGAAAACAAGAAAGATGTTATAATTCCATAGAAGCATAAGTCTGAGTGCTTTTTTCAATTTTTCAGGATTCTCAATATCTGACAATTTTCATAATCCTTCTGTCTTATTTGCCTTGCTGTCAAGTTGTGACAATGATTTCATGTCAACACTTACTGGTATTTAAATGGTCAGAACCCCTTTCTAAGGGGTAGAATCCTCACCCCAAACCCCCACGGAAAATCAACTTAACTGAGCGATCAGTTTACTTCGACTAGTAAGTAGGCCCACCATTTTAATGACCATTCCTTACACCATAATGTGACGTCATTTTTGAAATTAAATGGACACAGACACAAGAGCACATACACTCCCACAAACATGCATTCATACACCCTCACATACTTTTCCCAACAACTTCCAACATCTGCAGCCGCAGCGTAAAGTATACTCCCAATTTCTGCACATTACATTCCCAAACACACACACACACACACACACACACACACACACACACAGACACACACATACATTGAAACACACACAAAGCTCTGTCTAGTCACTATCTCTCTCATGATCCTGTTCCTCAAGCACTAACTCAGAATCTTCCACTGCCTCTAGCAACTCAGGGCTGTCCTCCCTCTCCCCTGCCTCTCCTCCCTCCAGCTCCATCTCTTCTTCCTCTCCTCCCTCCATCACTCCATTCTCTACCTCCTCTGTCTCCCCACCTACTTCCACCATTTCTGTGCCCTGGATCTCCACCTCCCCTTCACGGATCTTTTTCACATGGAAGGTGAAAGGTGGGACCTTGTACACAGCGGTCTTGGACCGAGCGTAAATGGTGTGATCAGGCGTGAAAGACTTCACCATCTTCTTCTGTGAACTTTTCAGCTTCTCTTTGCGCTCTGGATTGACAGACATGCGGGTGCTGAGCTTGCCCATTTTCTTCTCAATGTTGTGCCGCGTCTTTTCCAGATTCTCCCGTGTCTTCTGCCTAGTCTTCTCCAAGTTCTCCTTGGTCTTCTGCTTGGTCTTTTCCAAGTTTTCTTTGGTCTTCATACGAGTCTTCTCCAGGTTCTCTTTGGTCTTCTGCTTGGTTTTCTCCAAGTTTTCTTTTGTCTTCTGTTTGGTCTTCTCCATCTTTTCCTTTGAGAAGACCGTTTTGATGTTCTGGACACGTTGCAGACTGCTGCGTTTGATGCGTTCTGCTCGAGTCTCTTCGATGGTCTCCTCAATCTCCACCTCTTCTTCATCAGAGGACAGGTCCACGTGAGCCTTCTCTCCTCCATCCTCTCCACCTTCCTCCACAGCCGCTTTGAGCTCCAACTCACCTTCACCCTCAGCTGGCTGGGCCACTTTCATGGACTTGGCCACTGTGACTTTGGAGGGAAGTTTCACCTCATCCTGTATAGGGACAGAGAGTTATTTATTGGGGATTCTACAGGCAGATATACAGTCTCTTGTATTATATTTCCCCACACACATATTGACACAGTTACACACACTTCACATACACACTGTCTTTATTGGGGTCAGTCTTTGACCTATGTACTACTGTAATTTAATATTGCCATGCTTACACCTAGCCTTAATCTTGGTAACTAAAAAGAAAAGTTGTATATACACTAAGCATTACACGTCAATAAAATGCCACCCAAGCAAAAGCCAAAATGAAATATTTAGCCATTACTACCTCTGTTGTAAACACACCTACTTGTCTCTTACAGTGGTGGAACATCAGACCCGAAAGTAAGAGAGTTTTTCTGCTTAACAACTCAAAAAAAACCCTCAGATAATGTATCTTCAAGATGGAAGGAACTACAAATGCTTTGGTGTAGATACATAAGAGTGGGCTGTGCCCCCTAAGTGAGCTGGCTAATGCAGAAAGACACCAGAATATTACCACTAGGAAACATAATTTCTGTATTTATTAGCAGTGTTGCACTACATAATATTATGTAAAACAACAATGTAACAAATGCTAGTTTTAGGCTGAAATACCCTTTTAATGAAGCAAACCATTCACATCATCTAACAAACATAAATAATTGTTTATCAAAAGAAAGCAAGGCAATATTTAATCATGTCACAGCAAACCTACACTAATATGTTTGTGATGTATCAGAAGATATTGCAATCACAATATATAGCAATATAGTATTTTGTTTATATCAAGCAACCCTAAAACAAAGGTAGAGTCAGTTTCAATCTTTTTATGGCTCATGGCTCTGTAAGGAGCTTGAAGCTCATAACTCCTGGCTAAGATACATACACTGCCACTGAAAAGTCCCAGAGCATAGCCGGTCAAGTCAAGTCTAAACAAATATGGAAAGGTATGAGCATTTAGTGTGTGTTCACACAGTTGCCTCTTTTGCTGGAAAAGTACTTCTACCAGCTGGGATGATCATTCTCAAGTATGCCTTATCACCCTCCACCCTCCCTCCCTCTTTTTTTCCATTTTTTTTTCATCCCATCATTTATTTTTCCACTGTCATGTCTCTTCCTTAAGGGCAGAGAAAAATGTATTTTCTTCCTTTGCCAAGCCTGTAAGAGTGCCAAAACTATCAATATCCTGTCTCTATTTACTCCTCCTATTGGTCCTATTGTTCAAGGCACTGCAAATGATAGTGATCTACCACACACATGTACACTCAGTCACACACATACTGTCACCACCTCCAAGGGTGCAGGGCATGGACACACAGCTGGAGTGGTGCTTAAGTTCTAGAGGAGCTCTGTCTCTTTTGTTGTCCTTTTCTCCATTTTTTCCCTGCCCTTCCCTTCCCACCTCTGTCCCACCCAGGCCTTCTCTCTACTCTCATTCTCTGCATTCCATTCACGGAAGCCTCTGGTTCCTGTACACAACACAAAGCTCTGGCCTATTAGTGAAAGAGGCGTTTTTTCCACCAGTGTGATGCACTGGCTTCACAAACACACTGTCTCCAAAGTAGAAAACAAATGCTCATTGTCTTTTTTTAATTGTCCTCTGCTGTGTTCTAAAAGAGGTGATGAAAAAGAGATGTGTGTCTTGGAGGACCTTGATCGAGGGAATTGCTCTGCAGTCATTCAGCAGCATTAAAGGTGCTTTTATATGGGTGGAAATTCATCTGTTTCCCACTCCACAACCAAAAAAAGTCTCAAAGCCAGGACTCAACCTTGAGATGCAGGACTGAGGGGCCTGTGTTTGTGTGTGTGTGCGTGTGTGTGTGAGTGTGTGTGTGTGTGTGTGTGTGTGTGTGTGTAAGACATCAAGAAAACACCTTCAGCACATCTATTTCTGCAGGTTGTGCTGATATTCAAAAACTGAATTTTACTAAAACTTTGCTCTTCCACAAGGCATTCTATGAAGTTCGCATGAAAAAATATTTGAGATGCAAATAATTAACAAATCATATCTAACCTAACCTATCTACTCTTTTGTACCGTACTGTGCATCAGGAAAAAAATGGCAAAACACATACTTAACAGAAGATTACATAGTTGCCAGAACAACTAAATATAATATTATTTTTTTGTAATATATTTTGCATGCCCATCCTTTGCTTTTATTACAGCTTGTATTCTTTTCAAAAGACTTACTTTCAGGTTTTCAAAGAAATCTGCAGGGATATCTGCTTCGTACAATCCAAGCAACCCCAGTCAAATTGACAGCTGTAGATCCTCTTAGATGCATAGTATTGAGCTGTCTGTTTGCAGTGGGTGGCGTTTTTCAGATCTCTCAAAGATGGAAGTTTCAAATCCTGTTTATCTGATGCAACAATTTTGGTGGTCTACCAGGTCTTGCACAGTTTTTTGAACTTATTTTCCTCTGTTTTTGCCCTTCTTTACACAAATGGATTAGCTTATGTCTAAGCTCCTCAGAAATATATCCTAAAAATTATAAATTATTATAAATAATAAATAAATAAATAATAAATTATAAATAAATCGTTATTTTGATGGGAAATTAAATAAATGAATGGTGGTCTCTGACTTTTGCACAGTACTGTAATAGTGTGATCACCATGTCTATATATGTTTGTAGAAAGAAAAACAAAACATTGAGAAAAATAAAACAAATGGAGAAAGAAGGTTTTGTTCCAACAGCAGCAATATGCAAGTACACAGCTAAAAAAAATTTACCTCATATATTCATAACTCTGCATACTAACATGCCACTATCATGTCGGTCACTGCTGTGCTGAGAGAATAACTATCTTTCATTAATTTGCTTAATCCCATTGTCTCCCCTGATTATAAATGTCAACACTAAGATAAAGTTTTGGAAGGAGAAATTAGATTGAAGCAGCAGATAAATTCAAAGCACAGTAAAGACATTTCCATAAGCCTGACCTTATGGTATGATCATCAGTGTAGGATCAGGTTAAATTGTTTCTATGTAAACAGCATTCTTTTAAAGATACTGGAATGGAAGGACAGGAACATGGAAAACATGTAACAGGAAGTCAGGCAATCACCTCATCCAGCCAGAAGTCAAAGACCCGCCCCTCTCATTAATGTCTCATTGTTCTGTTCCACAGACAGGAAGGGTCACACACTTGGAAACTAGTTGTGTGTGTGTATGACTGTGTCTGCGTGTGTGTGTGTGTGTGTGTGTGTGTGTGTGTGTGTGTGTAAGAGAGAGAGAGAGTTTCCCAGGCAAAGGTGACTCCCAGCATGAAGGCTTGAACTTGCTCAGCCTCAAATTTGACTGAACTGACTATAGGACTGTATAATGTCTGCCTTATAAAATTAATCAAACTCTGATATGTAATTCATCTTATACAGCCATGCCACTGCCAGCAACAAAGATACCAACGCTGACAGCTAGGAATATTTTGTTTATGCACTACTGACAATGTGCATACATTTACTAAAACTAAATTATTCAAATTATTTATATCACATGTGCACAGACAACCAAGAAAAACACATGCACATTCAACATAGTGTAATATTACATTAGAGTGAGCAGTTTATTCTTCCACTCGCACTAGGACCACAGTGAAAACATACTATATGGACAAAAATATTGGGACACATTGCACCCACAGGGGCTTTCATGACATCTCATTCTAAATCCATAGGCAATTATATGGAGTTTGTTCCCCCTGTAGCTATAACAACTTACATTCTTCTGGCAAGCATTCTCCAACATTTGTGAAGTCAGACACTGAAGTTGGATGATAGGGACTGGCTTGCAATCTCTGTTCTAGTTTATCCCAAAGGTGTTTAATGGGGTTGAGGGCAGGGCTCTGTGCAGGCTAGTCAAGTTCTTCCACACCAAACTCACCCAGCCATGCCTTTATGGACCTTGCTTTGTGCACTGGTTAGGCACTGTGCACTTCAGCACTCACTGGGTCCACTCTGTGAGTTTGCATGGTCTACCGCCTCGTGTCTAAGCTGTTGTTGCTCTTAGGTGCTTCCATTTCACCATAATAGCACTTATAGTTGTCAGGGGCAGATCTAGCAGGACAGAAATTTCACAAACTGACTTGTGGCAGAGGTGGCATCCTATGACAGTGCCATGTTTAAAGTTACTGAGCTGATCCATATGACCCATTTTACTGCCAAGGCTATGTACTTAATTTTATCCACCTGTTAGCAATGGATGTGGCTGAAACACCTGAACTCAATAATATTATAATAATAATATTTTTGTCTATATAGTGTAAGTCTTGAATTTTATTATGTTATCTAAGCTGAAATTTAATTCTTGATTTAATTGTCAAATCAACAAAACTAATTTCTCCATGCCTTTTTCAGTTCATCCCTTTTCTTGAAGTAACTCCAAAAATTACTCCATTTGGCTGTGAGCTTGTAGTACAATCTCTATTAGCTGCATACACAACTGGCCTAACATAGTGATTAGTAATGAAGATTTTATATCAGAAAATTGTTAATGTTAGGTTTAATGGTGGGTGTAAAATGTATGAGGAGATTACATAGAAGATAACCCACTTGCGTAAGGAAGGAGAAAGTCAAAGGAAAATAATTGAAGAATAAAAGGAGTTTCCAAAACTTAGTACTATGGGTCTGATGTGTAGCTGTCAAGTAGCTTTTACTGAGAAAAAAATCACACAAAGAAACTGCTGGTCTTCTCAGAACAATGGCCTGGACAAATCTCAACATCGAATGTGTTTGGGATTACTTGGATTCTGAAAAGTAGAAAACCAGCTTCTAAGACTCAACTTTGGAGGTGTGGAAAAATATCACAGCAGATATCTTTGAATAACTGAAAGCAAGTATTTTGAAAAGAATGGAAGCTGAAATAAAGGCAAATGGTAAATACTGAAAAGCATTATATCTAGTTGTTGAGACTTCAGTGTATATGTTTTTTTTTTTTCTGGTGCTGAGAAATAAATAAATTGTACACAATAGCTGATTTAACTGGAAATTAAATAAATGGGGTTGAGGTTTTTTTT